TTACCAATCACTAAGCGAATGAGCGACTATTCATCTTCTCCTTTCTGGCCCTATTAACTACCAAGTAACTATTGTGCATCCAATCGTAGCAATTATACCTGACATTGCCATGCGGCATGACTTTGCTCATGTATTCGTTCAAAATTAGATCGAATCACTTTCATTCTCTTGTATGTTTAACTTTAAAGACAAGGATAAATATTACTGTTATTCTATAAAATGTAGCTCGCTGACAATTTCGTTGCTATGTACTTGGTTTGACAACAAGGTGAAATTGATATCTAACCATAATAAATAGTCTAGTCTTATTCAATCTGATATTAAATAATAATAATTGCAAAAAGCATTAGTGGCAAATACCAACGAGAGCCTGTCTATACCAATAGAAGGTTTACACATGCACTACATAACAAAATAGCAATGATTAGAATATGATTCTATTTTGCAGTTAGACATATTTTGAAAAAAAATCTCATGAAATTAAACTATAAATGAATATTTGAAGTGAATTTGTGGATAAGATTGCATGAATAAATAATCATTAAACTTTATCTTTTGATGAAGAAACAATCAAGACGTATCTTGTTATACCAAGGGATATATACGGTCAATATTATCAATGTAAACTGTTCATCTCGTTCTGTTGTTCGAATAGAAAACGACATTTTACAATAGTGTCCCATGAGACGAAATATATTAAAATTGAATTGTTTCATCTCATTCAGTACTCTAATAACTGTTTATCAATACAATTATCGATAGAAATGAACATTGATGGTTACCGATGCAAATAAATTTCAATTATTCACTGAATGAATTCGTACGCTTGTTTTAGTAGTAGTATACAACAAAATCAATCATCTTCAATATTTTGATAAAAAGCGCAACGAATACTCATATTATCTGCCGTTCAAAAAACATTCTTCTTCTTTTTAATATCAATCAGAAATTAACATTTGATATTAGCTTGATTGTCGGAACACAGTTATTTATATTACTTGTGACCTTGAGGAACAATAAGCATATATAATCTAAGACATGGTTGTGTCTCATACTTGTGTATAACGTCACTTTCAATGTATGACTGTGTACATGGAGTCAACCGTCCACCATCACGCCTAATTCATTCGCTGAGTTTCAAGTGCATTTTTAACCTTCGCCGATTAGATAAAATCGAATAGCTATACCTTATTCATTCTGTCAGCTTTATCTTTTCATTCATACACAATCACCATTATTTACAAACTTGATAGACTTGTTGATAATCAAACAAAATCGTTGAAAATATCCTTGTACAGATATAATACACAGGAGACGGTGGGTATCGCCATGATTCGTTTTTTTCGTCTTTTTTCTGCTTCCTTCTAGTTTCGTAGCAATGATCCTCTCAAAGCGAATCAAGCATACTGGTATAGTAAAGAGGAAAAGAAAAGAAAAGAAAAAGAAAGAAAAAAAAGGAAGAAAGAGAGAAAGAGAGAAATAGAGAGAAAAGGCGACCATGTCGATCATCGCCTCACTTTTATAACTTCATAGTCAGAAACAGCATGAATCCCACTCTACTCATAAATCAAATACATATTGCTTCTTTTACTAAACGTAATGCTTATGAACCAGCATTGGCCCATAAGCGAAACAACTGTGTATTGATTTGATTTTTTTAAGTTTAATATTCAGCTAAACATCGCCTATACTCTGAAATCATCTTTTCAATCTTAAACTCATTAGAAGAAAAGACGACAACTATAGTATTAATTCTCTAACATTTTCTTTCTACAATAGTCTTGTTGGACATGTGCTTTACTACGTTAGTATTCTTGAACTTCTGCCATAGTGCATGATTCTCTAACAATGTACATGTCTGGCTATAATTGTAATAAAAAAATCTAAAAGAAAAGAAAATAAAGAGAATGAGACAAAAGAGAGAAAGGAAAAAATAATGTGCCTATTTTCTAGAAGAAGAAGAATTTCTATTAAGTTCTGCTTCTGTTTCGACGGCACTGTGCTTCGTAATGGTAACTCGTTACATTTTATTTTTACAATTTCAAAGAAGGGAGAAAGAAAAAAAAAAAGAAATATTTTTATATAATAACATTTTAATTTTAATTTTGTTTTAGAAAACATATCTTCCACTCTAAGCCCTGATCATGGAATCGGACAATACGGATGGTGAAGTCTTTCTTTTTACGTCAGAATCGGTTGGCGAAGGTCATCCTGGTGAGTTATGAAGTGCTACCTGAGGCTAATAGAATATTTGTACGAATGAAAACAGAATCCACCGTAAAATTGAAGTGGAAAATTGAAGTGCTGAAGAAAAAAAATATGTTGAACTTTATACTTACATTTTGTGATCTTCAAAAATGAGAAAAAAAGCAGCACGAGTTCTATAAGATGTGAATATCTTTTATTTTAGCTGGAATATTTCTATAAAAAGAATATAATCTAAACTATTTTTTTTCTAAATTTTTATTAGATAAAATGTGCGATCGAGTTAGTGATGCCGTTCTCGATGCTTGTTTAAGTCAAGATCCTGATGCTAAAGTAGCATGTGGTAAGTTCATTGTTTTATTTATTATATTGTATTCAGATGATTCATACATAAATATTTATATATTTGTTTTAATTTTATTTAGAAACATGTACAAAAACAGGTATGGTATTAGTATGTGGAGAAATCACGACCACAGCTCAGCTTGATTATCAAACGATAATTCGTAACGCTGTTCATGATATTGGTTGGGATTCGTCTGAGAAAGGTTTCGATTATAAAACAATGAATGTTCTTGTTGCGATTGAACAACAATCACCTGATATTGCGCAAGCTGTTCATGTAAAAAAACTTGACGACGATATTGGTGCTGGTGATCAAGGTTTAATGTTTGGTTATGCAACAGATGAAACAGAAGAATGTATGCCATTAACTGTTGTACTTTCTCATCAACTGAATGCTAAAATGGCTGAATTACGCCGAAATGGAGAACTTGGCTATCTTCGACCTGATTCTAAAACTCAAGTATAACTTAGAAACAAAAAAAAAAGGAATTTAAAAAGAATGCAATAACTAATCTTTACATAGGTTACTGTTGAATATAAATTTGATAAAGGTGCTTGCGTGCCACAACGTGTTCATACCATTGTTATATCAACTCAACATAGTCGTGAGGTTACCCAAGAACAATTGCGCGATGATCTTCTCAATAAAGTTATTAAAACAGTTGTACCAAAAAATTTACTTGGCAAAATCATCGAATTTTTTTTATTCTAATAAATTGATTGATTTTGTTTTCTTTTAGACGATAAAACTGTCTATTATTTAAATCCATCTGGCAAATTTGAGATTGGTGGTCCACAAGGTGATGCTGGTCTAACCGGACGTAAGATTATTGTTGATACATATGGTGGATGGGGTGCTCATGGTGGTGGTGCATTCAGTGGTAAAGATCCATCAAAAGTTGACCGATCAGGAGCGTATGCAGCTCGTTGGGTTGCAAAATCACTTGTTAAAGCAAAACTTTGTCGTCGTTGTCTTGTTCAAGTATCATATAGTATTGCCATTGCTAAGCCTCTGTCGATTACTGTATTTTCATATGGTACATCATCAAAAACAAATAAAGAATTACTTGAAATAGTTAACAATAATTTTGATCTTCGCCCTGGTATTATTATTCGGTAAGTTTGACGTTCATCTTTGTTTTTCTATCTGTATTCGAATATGACCATTTTCTTTCCAGTGACTTGCAATTGAAAAAGCCAATTTATACATTAACTGCATGCTATGGCCATTTTGGTCGATCAGAATTTCCATGGGAAAAAGCCAAAGATCTTAAATTTTAATCGTCAATCAATATGATGCAAGCCACTAATAAAAAAAGACAATAAAAAATATATATTCTACTCAGTTATTTCTCTTCGATGAGCATTTTTTTTTCTTTTTTTGTGATAAGATTGTGCTAATATATCCTTGTTGCCTGAGCTACATGTTTTTTTTAACCGATAGCACAAAGAAAATATTTGTCACTGTATTAGTTATTGGAGTAAGAAAAAACCTACATAAGCAACATAAGTATTTGTTATTTCTTCGTTAACAACAAAATATATGATTGATCTGTTGAATCGATATTTAATATATGTATATATAAATATTTGTTTGACTGAATCGGTGTTTCGTCTAATGTAAGGACTTCACTAATATAAAATTCCTCCGAAGATTCTAGTAATTCTTGTATTGTGAAGCTGTGCTCTCAAAAACATTTCGTCTTTTCGATGTGAAAAATCTCCAATTTAATTATTTCCTGTAGTAATGTAAGAAAGTTTAGTATCATACATGTAATCTTCTTTGCTTACGTGACACCAGTAAATTGATAATTGTAAGTACTTAAAAAAGTGATCTTTAGAAATGTAATTAACATAAAAATTCTGATCATTTTTATTGTATTTGGAAAAGGATTGATTGTATTTCGTATATATTGTTTCGACATTTGTATCAGAAAGAAAATGATCCGTTACGATAAGTATGACTCTTATAAATATTTAGGAGAATTTTCGATCGATATTCTAGCAATTCTATGATTGTTTATTATTTTACTAGTTGCGATTCGATAGGCATGAGCCGCGGGCGACATTTAATGTACTGATCAAACAAACAAACAAACATGATTGAAAGGCATATGATTATTATAGACAGGGCAGTTTTGTGTTTAATTGACCTCCAGATCATGTCAATAGAAGTTATCGTGAAAATAAGAAAACTGTTTGCATCTGTTGAAGATCAATTAAATTATCGACATTACTGACGATGAAACAAAAGGAAATCGAAATAGAATTTATCATCGAGCCAATGAATATGCGCATACGATAACTACTACCGGTATCATCATTGGTTCTTACACGAATACTTCTGTATACTGACGGTAGTGCATGCTAATAGACACGCATCAAACAGCTATCTTTTTTGTTTTCTTAAATCATAAATAAAATCTTGTAACGATAAGTTAATAATTCTTTTATCTTTCAATAAAATTGTTTTCTTTATTTACAATATCAGTTTGACTATTTCGTTGAATAGGTATTTCTATACACATAGTCAAATATTTGTTTGCTTCTCCATATTGTTTTTTCTTCTGGTAAAGTTTTCCTATGAATAAATAAACTGTATGTATCATATCGTAATTTCTTTTTATAGCTAAATGAAAATATTCTAATACTTTATCTAAATTTTCTTCTATTTTATAATCTAACATAATTGCTGCTTTACATTCAAATAAATTTAAATCAAATGCAGTATATTCATATCGTCCTAGATAAGCATACAATTCGTAAAAGTTTTGATCTATTTCAACTGTTCTTTCCATACGATGTTTAAATAAAGATGCTTAATTCAATTTATCTTTTAATGAAAATTGATTTATATCTAATAAAACTTCAATTATATGTCCGTATGTAAAATGACAAAAGTTATATTTTTCATCTGATTGTAATGCTATTTTACTTAATCATAATGGTTTATATAAGACAGACAGCTTTACGCATTGATAAAGGGTGTCCCACCATAGCTGAAGATAATTTGATATTGATATTTTTCATACTTTTCCTCGACGTAGAGGACTGAAATTTTTATCTTTTATATATCTGGTCAAGATCGTTTATTGCTGAAAGTTTCAGCTCTCTAGCTATAACCAATGGTGAAATACATTTACAAGATTGAAATTCATAAAGGGCAAAGGCGTCTAAGATACCCTATCGGTCCATTCCGATTTTTCAACTCAGTCTAGTCAAATTACATATGAAATGAAAGTTGCCATTGAGATAAGCATATTGATACTCAATCCGCCATGCAAAAGATGAATTAAAAAATGTTTCGGGCACTAACAAAAGTTGATTATTTGACTGTTTCTCTTGAACAGAGTCTCCCGCATTC